CCAAGATTGCCGAAATTACTGTCGATTTATACCCTGGATAAACGAAGTTTTCACGTAAGAACATACACGGGTGGTACCTACTGTTCCGGTCCCACTTTAACTTGATCTGATTAAAGTACCACTGCTTCTGCACGATCGAACACATGTGTGCCGATCTTCACTGCAGGTCAGCAGGAACACCAAACTAAGAGGTTACTGGCTGAAACTCTCACAGTAGTACAGCCGCAGACATTTCTTTCACCTGTGCATGGCACTAGAGTAACGTTTTTTATTACTCTATCTTTGCTGCGCCGTAAACAGCCATATAAGGAACACATTCAGCCAATTCCATATTGTTACTCAGCACTGTCACAAACTTCTATGCTTGGAAAATAAACCGCATTTATATTGTGTCCAAACTGGTGCTGTGCAACTACGCGGGGCGCAGGACTATGGCTCAACTAAATGTACATAGGCTTACATTGATAGCAAAGTATTGTTTGTTAGCGCGATTGGGGAAACCCATATAGACCACGAACGACGTTTTTGGAACAGTGCTCGTGTGTCATTATAAAGTTATTGATGCCGTTAATTTTAGCTTCGGACCATGCATTTATAAACATGCAATCGACAAAATGAATTGCGAAAATAATAAAGGACAGATAGTTTCGCTTAACAGTAGAAAAGAAATGCAGCAACCTGATAGCTGGTTGTTCGGTGCCATTCCTCTACTCTTATAGAAATCGCTGCTCATTAACTGTCATTTTTCTGCTCATGTTACGTCACTAATGAAGCTGCCATAAGCAATGCGTTGTGCAGTCACGTGTTGTGAGTGGTGTAACGCAAGAAAGCCTCGGTGAGGGTGCGTTGGGCATAGAGTGGGTGCCTTCACCGTATTACGTCGTTTGGACCGGCGATCCCTTAATAATATTTTGGCGTATGCCAGTCTAATTTATTGATTGATTAAAGTAACTGTAAAGTAGCATGCTTCCAGAAATTCCGTCGCATGCTTTGTAATCGCATTCGTCAGAATCCTTACATTTTATAGATCGAAGTGCTGTCCCTCTTGATCTGCAAGTGTGTAAATTAACGATTTGGGATTGTGTGTTCATATGGCGGGTTTTGTATGGTGATTCGTGTACGAATCTTCCGCTCAGCTTGTACAAGGTATTTCCTGTCAAATGCCCGTAATTTATCTAGTAGATAAGATTGTGTTGATTAAATATTTCGACCATGTACTTAGGCTTGAATATAAATTTCGTTAACGTGACATTTGGTTTGTGAGCCACTGAGAGTCCAGGCGTCTTTAGCAACGTTGCTTAGCGCATGATGCTGCTTTGCTTGGGGTTGTGCTAGTACCTGACTCTATCAAGTTAGCCTTCATGTCAAATACGGCAGAACAATCAGTGACACTTTATTGCAATAACACGGAATTCAGTAATACTTCCAGAATCCTGATGACGCTCTTGACAGCCGTGCCTTCTTTTTGGGATTCGCAATAGCTGCGTTCTCCACCGCAACCTCAGGGTATGGAAACCTGATCTCTAGAGGTTTGCATCACTAACCTGCACCCATCACCACTGAATTATCAATGGAATTTACAGATTATGATGAATTGCAAGCTAACAGCATCACATAAGCAACCTGCTTGCAGCGCCTCATGTCATTTGTCGCAAACTGTGTATCACAAATAGTATGCACAGTTCCAATCCGGAGGCAAATGGAGACTATTTGGTTTCTAAAGGCTTTTTTTCCTATAAATAGATGCATTTCGCTCTTTTTGTTCTAATTACCTGCGTATGCTGGAATTTATACAACGCAATGCTGATGCTTTACTATCATTAGCGAGTGGAACAAATTCTGATCGAGTCACGCGGATTTGTCCTCTTAGGTTACAAATCAGAAATCCTAACCGCTAATCGGGAAATGTGAAAAACATCGGTTTCGTCCTATTGTGACTCTTCAGTGGTGTGTAGTCCATCGGTTTTCTGCATAGAACCCATCACCTGACTTCAAGCATCATCCATTAGGTATGCAGCAGCTTACACCATTAGGTTAACTGATGGTGGCAGACCTTCGAATTTGCAAGACAACCGAAAATTAGCGCAGCCTATCCTCCATGTTATACAGGTTTCTACCACTCGACTGCGTAGTTGCTGGCCTCTTGAAGTCACAAAGTCCAAAGCATTTGGCTTATGTACGCATATCGGTTGAAGACATTAAGGGCGAATTTGCAATTTCTAACGAGTTGGAGGATTTTCGGTAATCACGGTTTGAGTAACACATTGCAATAAGCTTGGCCGATTCTTCGGAACGGACACGACCTAACTGGATGCGCCATGCATGTGGTAGTTCGGTTGGATATAATGCTATCACCGGTGCGGCTTGCCGATACTAATAAAACTTCATGTCGCAGACGGCTTTACGTTTTCAATTTGTTGAACAAAGTTTCGCCTGAGTGCAACTGGTTGGAGCTTTTTGAATGCGGAAATAGGATTCCATCCAGGAATATGCAGACATCGTGTGAATTGCAAATGAAATAAATTTGTTTGCATCATATTAGCTTTTCCTTACATGAACCTATTTACTTTCGGAACCCATTTATCTTGAATGATGATCACTGTGTTGCCTGCACTTGAAGATAGGGACAGGTACCTCACGTATAGCCTCAAAACTCGCGGTAAGAAACAAAATACTCAACAAACTGGGGGAGACCATATTCTTCAGCGCAACGATTTAGCTGTTTTGCTCCTAGTCGACAGTTGCCAACAAATTGGGAAACAAGGGGAAGGGAACTCAAGTTGCATAACTGCAAGTCAAACAACATTTGAATATACTGACGTGAACGTGAACATATGTGGTTGCTTATTTTAGGTATAAACCTACATGCATTCGTGAATAGAAGTGGTTTTAGTTTTGGCTACAGTCGACTCAGCTGGATTGTGAAAATGGATTCCAGGTAAATGATTTAAAATTGCAGGTTAGTAAACCAACTTGTCGTGAACGCGATATTAGGCGGTCCGTTGTACTCAACTACATGTAAAACAATGCAAGGAGCCGAAAACATGTTGAGCAAGGAAATTTAGCTTTGCTCCTCAAGTTATAGAAAAACAGATATATAAATAAAAATTTATATACGCCTCATACTGAGGTTGATGTTGCGGCATCATGCATGTTCATGGCAGTTGGGTTACGCTGGCTTACACGTAAAATGCGCATTGACTTGGTCAATAATATTCCACTTTATTTGATTTGCCAATTTTTGTTGTTCTATGCCATATTCCATCATCATTATTTTCCTTCAAATGGCATGTTGGTTGTTTAAAATTCCCGTCGTAGCTTCCTTAGACTTGAAGGTTTGTGAAGCGTATACCTGTTTTACATCCACCATCTAGATCACACTGGTTCCAGGAGACTGCAAATCGTTGATAGTGTGACGAGGAGCTTAGTCCTGGTGACTGTGCTAATCACAAACACTGGTTAACTTGTGTGTGATGACCACTGCCAAGGCACTGTCTTGTATAAATCTAGAAAGCATGATCCCTATTTGGAATGACAGAAACGCTGCTGCTCTGCATATTAGATGAATGTGAGCTAGGTCCGTTAATGAAAAGTAGCAGTTATCCACATGTCGATTGATATTATTCCTAGGTATGTACACTGGATATGGTGCGTGTAGCTGGAGCTTTTGTTGGTGAAGCTCAAGCCACCCAAGGTCCCTCTGTAGGCGCAGGCGCCTTCCGGTTGTGCCCGTAGAGGCAGCAGTGACAGACATATGCGGAACCGGATGTAGCCAATCACATATATATATATATATATATATATCCCTCGTAGTTATACTTAAGTAGAAAGCCACAACCTATTCAGAGAGTTTCATCCCAACGGCAATCGTCATTAGCGCGTAGCCGACGAATTCTGTCTGATATGAAACCATGGCATTAGACTTACGAGCCAGCCAATTATGCTAATGTGAGATGGGTGACGGGAGCGGACGACCATGACTGATTTTTAACTGCTATATTGCGCTGTATTCATGGATGTGTGTAATGCCTGTCTAAGTCTAGCTACGACGAGTGTCAAACAATTCCTAATAACATTCCAGTACTCTATAATATTTAGTCGTACCCCTTTTATTGCCCACTCGGTTAATAGTCCACAAGCTTTATTGCCCAGTTTTTCAAAATACGAAGGCTTTTCATATAAATATGCAGAAGATGCACCCCCAATTGCCCAGTGCTGAGGACGTTTCATCGTTTAATTACCCAGATTTGTGGGCTATGCTCTTGTCGTTTTGTCAGGTTTTCGCCCTTGCTCCGACTATCTTTTATTATGACTATCCAGAAGCTAGTCAGACCGACAGAGTTAAGAAGAACAAAGCTGGCGGCGTAAGTGACAGATCAGAAACGTTTACCCCGGTAATTCAAAGCGCGAGCACGCTAAATCTACAGACGCGTGGGCGTAAACCCTCGTCCATATTCAAAATTCAAGAACTGAGCAAAGTTGGGTAGTATTTCCACTCTATATTTCTCAATACTCTATTGCTTACCCACAGGTATGGCCAGTAACAGACAGCATTTGTCCTTGACAGAAAAGCAGGATGTTTTGGACAAAATTAAACGCTCGTCGGGAAACTGGCAGGGCAGGTTGCCGCGTTATTTGCACATTTATCCCCTTACTTTAGCCAGGGGGCTTGCCAGCGCAAAGGAAATCTAACAGAATTTGTCAAATGGCATCGTAAGCTCTCAGAAAAGAAGAAATGTGGAAAAGATGAAGAAGTTGAAACTGCATTGAAAGATTGGAGGATCTCGGTTCGTGAGCACAACCAAAGAATAAGAGGCCCGCTTCAGAAAAGATGCAGAAGAACTCTGGAAAAGATATGGAAGCATATTTGCTACCAAAAGAAAGATGGTTGCAAAGATGGAATAATAAAAGCAAATTGCATATATACGTGCGTATGACGAAAAGAGTTCTGCGGACTGAGTACTCTGTGCAAATTGGTTGAAATTTCGACTTCCTGCACTTTTAAATGCGCTTGTTAATAATCAAGTGTACAATGCAGACGAAACTGTCCATTTTACCGAGCAACATCGGAGAGTAAATAGCGGTTTTCCGTTGACAAGCTCGGAGGATTGAAAAAAGCCAAGGACATGATCACTCTCCTGTTCTACGCGAAAAACTCAGGCACGGATAAAAGAAAACGGGTTTTTCTTGGAAAAATAAAAAAACATGATGTTTTAATGGCCTGAATGTGGACACACACCGCTCAACTTACAGAGCTAATAAAAATTCGTAGATGACGAAAGAACTTTTCGCCAAGGAGGGCCTAAAATAGAACAAGGTGCTGGGCCAGTGGTCGAAAAATTATGTTGCTCTTGGATAATCGCACAGCGCATCCACAGGTAGATGGCTTGAAAAACACTCAAATGAAATTTCGCCAGCAAACACGACCAGTATTCTTCAAGCTATGGACCAAAGTGTGTTTATGAATCTGATAAGCCGTTACAGTAAGAAATTGTGGACCGGATCCTTTATCACATCCATAGTACATGTTATTTGGTTCATCTTCAGAGGTGGACGTCAGCGCCAAGCTTTATGCACTCGATGCAATTCAGTTCGATTCAAAAAGTTGGAGACTGGTTATCTTTGCAACAATAAAAATTTGTTTTCGGCATGCTAGCTTCGGTTGACTGGCATCCGATACACCTTCTGATGACGCCGTTATAACTGAGAACGAGATCAACGCTTGCACAAACCCAGTCATCAAAGCAGAAGAGTTCGTTGCCATTGACAACCATGTGGAATGTACCTCAGATCTGACAACGGTTGGTGAAATCGTCATTCAAAGTTTAGGGAACCGACTGGTACGGAAAGAAAGCATTGACTCAGCGGTGGACTTGACGGATGCCTCCGTGAGTAACAGCAATCAGCACTTTCCGCATTCAGTAGCAAAGCGCTGTGTATGATGTTTATAGCTACGGAATTTGCATCGGTTACGCAACGACTTCCTGTCCAAATTGGACTTCGTCAGGGTAAAAGTGACTGGAGTAGCAGCTCAAAATATTGTACAAGTGCAATTGTATTTGTTTCTCTGCAAAAATATTCTCTAACCCCAGCTTCTATGCTGCCTGTGAGAAAGACCTTGGTATACTCGTATCTCCCGATCTGCGTACCACCGAGGACACCCTGAGGAAGATAGCGGCTGCGAATAGTATGTTCTGTGCCATTAGGAGATCGTTCTCCCGAATGACTCCAGAGGTCTTCTGACTTCTTTCTTCTTCCCATGCGCGCCCTATCCTCGAGTACGGTTTGCCTGCGGCCTACCCTTTTACAAAGACTGAACGTGTTATGATTGAAAGAGTTCAGCGACGAGGCTCCAAATCCATCTCAGCACTCCGTGACCTGCCTTACACTCAGCGTCTTCGACAGATGAACATGTTTTCCTTGGACTTCCGTCGACGTAGGGGTGATTTGATTTACACCAGACGGATATTGGGAGGACAGGTGGGGAGTGAACTGCAAGAGTTCTTCCAGCTCTGCGCTGATAGCTCGACACGGGGTCACTCTTGGAAACTGTTTAAGCCGAGGAGCGTCCGGATTCATTCTGATTTCACCCTATCAACTCGAGTAGTAAAGTACTGGAACAGCTTGCCTGAACTTGTCGTTTGTGCACAATGTGAGGAAAGTTTTAAGAAACTGTTAGACTCCTATCTGCTGAGTATGCAAGGATCCTGCTGTTTTCGATGCGACCGTAATGGTCCCTTGCGGAATACCGCCGCGCAGCATGTCGCACAATCCTTGCTCTGAACCGGATGTGATGGAGCTGACACAGGATGTCCTATCTGCTCTCTACCACTCCAATGAAACTCCAATGAAACTTATATATTTTTCCAGGTAAGATGCTTTATGTTAAAAGCTTCCACTTATAGGTTATGATCTTCTGGTTTCAGTTAAAATACTTATTTTTTCCTTCTTCGTACTTTACGTACAGCTCAAGTGATATACCGTACAAGAATTCAATGTTTATTACACTTTTGGAAACAATGACAATATCCTGAAGGTGGGCAATAAAGCGGGTTTGGCTCTATATGTTACCAGAGAAACAAATTTGCTTGGCCACACCCAATGTCTGGTACGGATAACTGTAAATCTTTTTGGGTGACTTTAAGAAGACAATCCAGATGGCGGGCATTTCTCAGACTTCGCCCTCTGTTAAGCTGCCTCAACAAACCAATGCCGAGCCACGGTCTGGATTCACGAGTTGGGTCATCAGTGGGCTCAGCGGATAGTTGGCTGACTCGGTTCATTATCCACGACAAAGCTTGTTACACGATGCAATGCAGCTGATGGCAACCGTCCACCAAGTTGGCACGGTTTGCTGCGTAGCACGTTGGAACACTTGGACACTGCTAGATAGTGGAGATGGTTAACACGTTTGGACATGTCTAGACGCGTGACAGCGGCGCACATTCGGTGAGCACATGTGACCTATAAATATAACCATGCTCTAAACCTAATGCACACCGACACAGCAGATATCGTCATCTGATTTCCTTCGACTGAGTTGGCAGCCCCCAGAAAAAGAGCAGAGGCAGCGCAAGGTTACTACAGCCTCCTATGTTCTTTGCGTGATACCAATGACTAAATTGATGACACGTGCTTTTTTCTAATGGCTAAAATTCCTTAATCCGGCACCGCACATTCATATGGTATGGGATAGTTCTGTAAGTCAAAGTCATTACTTAGCATTTGCTTAGTCAGCGATTTGAACCATGCTGGTTATTTGGCGCAAAAATTGTTCTACTTGCTAACGTCGAGTGCATTTGCGTATATGCCGTTTGATCTGCAGCCCAACAGCCTGCCGCCAGTAAGTTTATGACCTTGAAAATATTTAAACTTTCCCAACTTGTTAGAAGGATGTTTAATATGTTCGTTTATTGCTAAAACACAACAAAAAATGAAGGGAAATATTAACACTAGATAATGTCTGCATCAGTGACACAACGGAATATGTCTAACGGTTATTAAGATGAATATGCACTGTATACTCTAGTGTATTAAGGGAATGTGCCCCATGTGTTTGCCCGAATACCAATGCTGGAAACACACATTGTTGGCCCAAAGGTCAGAGTTTCTTGTTCATCAAGACCATCTAGGTAGCTAATCAGTGAGTCACAGTTTACGATAAGAGTACTTTATAGAGTGCATACGGCTTACAAGTGTAACTATCTTGATCAATAAAATGCGTTGTAGACTTCCAAATTTTGAACTAGCAATTTAAGTTTTGTGAAAAAATCTAACACGACCTTGGATTGCTGATGTATTAAAACTCTCAGTCGTCTAAGTATTTAAATGTAACAACCAGTTTTGGCTTAGTACATAGGCAAAATTGCTGCTGAACATAAGGGGTGACTTTGTCTCATTTGTAACATGAACAAGAAACTTTAAAACATTAAATAGATGCTATTGAATTTCAACCATTTAAACGAGGGAAACAATCACTAACATACATACATGAGTTAGTTCACAGCAGGACTCGTTGATTAATTTGCGCATTTAAGTAAACCATCAGCAAGTCGTTTCTAGCTTTTTTGTTTGTTCGATTATCCAAAAAATTGCAAAGTTGCTTATGTATCAAATAAGTTAATCATATAGTTGATTTATTGTACTAAATGACATTGCTTTTACAGCCATATACTTCACTGGTACGTCCTTTATACCCACCTTATTGCTGTAAGAATGCACATTATTCTTTGCATCTACCTTGCATCTAGAACTTGCGTGCTCAACATACAACTATTGTTATGGTGCTATTTAATTGTAAAATAACCTCACTGAGTATAATTCAGTTCAGAAATAAGTCAGCTTGTCTTATGTACAATGCAGCCTTAGCAGTAGGTGGGCGTATTTCAATTTTTTACTTATTCAGGCAGAACAATACTTGTGATCCTATCTAGCTTTGCTAAAGTTAGGTAAAAATGCTTAATTTTTGATGATCATCAAAAATTGTCCTTAGAAAGAGTGAAAAGGCTGCAAGAAGGACAATTTTAATAACGATGAGCTAGTGTAAATTACAGCAACACTAATGGCGAATGGCTACCCTCGAAGATTTATCGAGAAACACAGCCAACCGCGAGGACCAAAGGAGTTGGTGCACACGGTAGCCAAGAAGAAAGTGTATATTGAATTACCTTTCAAAGGTGACTTAGCCACGCTGAAGAAAACTAAGCGTATAATTTCGGCTACACAAGGAAGTTACTCTGCTGCACAAGTTGTCGTTATCAACCAAACCCGAAATTTGCCCATACCTCCAACGAAGGGAGCTCAGCCTATTGGGGCCAACTCACACTGTGTATACCAATTTGTATGTGACTGCGGAAAAAGTTACATAAGCAGAACCAATAGAACGCTGACTTCCCGAATAAAGGAACATGTGCCAAGATGGGTTCAACGTGAAGTTGCTCAGATTGCCTACCCTCGTCAGATTCCATGTTCGCGCAGACCACCGACTTCCTCGATAGGCAAACACCTACTAGACTCGGGACACCAATTAGAGCTGGGCTCAGCGTTTAAAGTTGTGTTACGTCATACTAATCCCCGCTTCCTTCGGTTTGCTGAGGCTGTCGCAATAAGCCGGCTTAAGCCAGCTTTCTGTGTTCAGAAACAATTATTTGTCAGCCCAAAGCTGCCTTGGAAGTAGGTGTGAACTTTCGTCATTCGTTTTGCACCTTAAGCTTGTCTGGTTGCACCCACTGTTAGCTATATCTATGCTTATCGGTTATTGTTAATGGTACTGAGGAGACAATACGAAATGCATGCATCTACCAGCCTTCGTCTTCTTTCCGTGCTTTACAAATTGTTGCTTTAAATTTCAATAACATCAAAAATGTAAAACTTACATCCATAATTCTACAGGCACGTTAATGATGACCTTTCAAAGTAAGTGTCGATAGTTTTATTGTTTGATTAATTGGGGCTACTAAGTAACTAGCACAGGTAATAAGGATAAAGCAACTACATGACTACTACGCTTATTTCCTGCAGCAAATATTACCATGCGAACTCAAAATAGAGTTACTTTATACCGATAGACATGCTTGGATGCTATGTAGTGCCAAAGTAGACTAAGTTTTAGTTTCTCACTTATCCGGTAATTAAGTACATAATTGAGGCATTCGTCCAAGTAGTTTATAGGCTACTTAGCACAGCCAAGTCCGCAAAAGCACCAGACGCGCTTCGCCTTACTGACGCTCATCAGTGATGCGCATTCCCACGGTCACATACTGGGGACCGAACGCATGATTGCTAGAGACGGATGCCAACTCGCCAGCAGCCTAATCCACTGAGCCATGGGGGAGGTTTGCTGGGCTACATACTTTGCACTCTGTTTTACCGGACTAGGCTGTGTTATGTATCTTGTGAACTATTGGGATGAATTCCACAATAAAAGTACAAGTAAACTCATATTACTCACGACTAAGTAAGTACATACATGCAACCAACCTACACCGCGGGTTACCTTTGTTATTATTAAAAAGATTAGTTCCCGAGGAAAATTTTAGCAGAATACTTGAGGCAATAGGGCCGGGCGATTAAACTCCGGAAGTTTCTTGTGCATCTTTGCTTCTTACAGACGTGTGTATTTATAGCATCATGAAAGGAGGACATTTAAATCATAAATCAACCAAACTGAACACGCATACAGTCACTTTGTCATCAGTTGCCGGTCTGGCCACCATGGCAGAGCAAATGCCACGAACGTTTTTTTCTACACACACGGAGTTGGGTAAAGTTGATTGGTCAGCTGGAAGTCACACCCTGCCCTACCAGACCCCATCCTTGTAAAGCGCCACCCAGGACTGGTCGTGCGGAGTTCCTTCGGGTAGTGCTAAGAAATGTGCGCAGCCTAAGGGACAAGGTACACGAGGTGGGTCTCGTTGTAGAAAATCTCGTCTCGACATATTGGATTTTATGGAAATGTGGTTGTCCCCGGATATCACAGACTGTGAAGTATGTTTACCAGGCTACGCACTGCTTAGATGTGATCGCTCCGTTGGCGGCCAACGTGCGGGTGTCGCTCTTTATTTGAGCTGTAAACATGATTTGTTGAGGACCAGCTTTTTTCCAGTAGCCGGCTCAAACTGTTCAAGCCCTGTCAATTATTGTGTACCTTTCCTCTGCTCAGTTTACGGTTGTAGTGGTGTATTGTTGTCAGGCTGCCAATAAGTGTCTAATACTGGGTGACTTTAACCTCCCTCAACCCCCCAATGCTGCACGATAAAACAGTGTATGTTTTTGCATCATGGAAAATCGAACAGCCAAATATATTTTTCTAAGGCTTCAACGACGCTAAGCTCCGGGTGATCAGCTCAACAACCAGATAACATATAAAATGAAGCGCTTTTCTGCATTAAAAGCTGCGCAAGGTAATCGACAGCAAAACTTACAATGACAAACGTGCAACCGTTTCTTGTCCTACTCCATATGTGTGTATCCTAAACTGAAATTTTGATCCCAAATTACTGCCTACTACTGAGGTCTGAATTTGTTCAAAGCATCGCCCGGTGTCATGTGAACAGAAGCAACTGAAGCAATCTGTTAGACTGCTTTGCTTTTGATGGATGACTTTGTTCCATAGTGAATTCCACTCGTTCGCTTCTGTTTGGCTCCTAATTGTATTGCGTTTGGGACTGAGAAAAGCAACTGCCATTTGACATTTCGCAACTTACGTCTTCTTGTTGGGTTTAGTAAGGGCGTTAAGGAGACACATTGTTGTAAACCGGAAGTAGTTCAGACTACTGCTGTTGTCTTCGCTTCATTAGGTTCTGATTTATCTTGCCAAAATTAAAATTAAAATCGCACGATGGACGTGATCGGAGTATTTGTCTAAGGAGGCAAAGGTTGTTATTCAATGAGAACATACTTCTAATCACAAAAAGCCTGTATTCGAAAGGTCTGAAAAATTTCAGGCTTTTGAATCCCAGTTGCAGCAAAGGATAAGCACAGCATGATGAGTATCGTTTATTTCCCATGTTTTACAAACAGAATGAAAGGTATATACGTTTCTATGGTTTGGACAGAAGTTGAGTGGTGTTGGTCCCCATAGAAAGGCAAGCACCCATATGAAGCTCTGTTGAACATCTATGCTAAAGATTTAATCAATTACTTAACTCTTTTATATCTCCAAACTTTCAGCTACACCCCAGGCTTGTTTTTTAAATCCAGTGTTCCGATTTGTATGGTAATATCATCACAACTTTGTTCGTGTATTTCCCAAAATATAAACGCGGTTCCATCAGTCCTTTTCTTTACATCGTAGTTTCGGGTCTGGAAAATCATCTGCCTTTTTAAAGCAAATGTCGTATATCAATGGATACAAGTTAGGACCAAGGTGTTTTGGTCCGGCTAATTATTTGAGTAGAAATCCCCAAAAATTTGCGGTAACAATTTAGTAGAGATATGGAAGATAGACTTGGACCATTAGCTGCTATTATGAGTGCAGTTAGGTATGGTTGAGCGTAGCGTTGAAATCAAAAATCGATGGACAAAATGTAGGTTGTGATCACAACAACGATTGTACATTTTTTCAGAGAATATCTCTGGGAGCGAAATTGTCTGTCCCTACCGCCATCTAACTACAAAACCACTGCGTGAAAATAAATACTCAGCATCATTTGTAGAAGGACGCATTTGAAGGTTCACCTGTTGATCGTTTTTCCGAGCTTGGTAAAGAGATCGCACACGTTTCATCACCATGCGTGGTGGCATCTTCAATTCGGTAAAAGGCAGTGTATAATGCCACTTATTGAATTGTCAGTCCATCATCCACGTGCAGGTGGTTTCTGTAGGTGGCAACTTCCATTTGCGCCACATGATCTCTGCCCATTTGATTCCACGGCTGAACCCCGTCCTGCGAGTCGCCGGAGATCGTTCTCTCTGAGTTGATGGTACATGGGGTCGATGTCGACGTGCATGTTGATCGAATTGGTAGAGGAGTATCATGGTTCTAGGAACTCTCGTCCTTTGTGTTGTTGTTTTCGCTAAAGTCACCGTTTTGTTTCAATCGAATTCATGTCCCTCCTCATCCAAACGCGTTGAGACATGAGACAATGCGCAATGTTTTTTACAAGCCCTCTGATGTTCTTGTATTCTTGTGGACAATTTCCTTCCTGTCTATCCCACATAGTTCATTTCACAATTATGGTTATTTATTTTATACACGAGGTTTCTTCGTTCTTGAGCATTCCTAATGTCCTTTGGGTTTGACAGTATTCTTCTCAAAGTAGCGGTTGGCTTATGAGCTGTGTTGCTGTGTTGTTTGAGCAATCTGGCAGTCATTTCAGATATGTTCTTCATATACGGTAAAACGACTCTCCTGCTTGCATTTGGTATCGGCACGGCGTTCATAAGTTTGTGGTTTAGACATGTGCGCATGAAGCTGCGTGGGTATCTATTGCGATCGAACGAATCGAATAGATATTTCACCTCTTCCCGTTTGGCTTCCACTGTACTGCAGTGTGTATAGGCGATCTCTTTACTAACCTCGGGAAAACCGTCAACAAGTGAGCAACCACGGTGGGCTACCATTGTTCCCAATTTTGTCGTATTTGAAGGTGTTGGATGGAGAGTGCAGACTAATTGCACAATCAGGTGGCACGTAAAGCTTAGCGGAAAACAGAGAAAGGATTGACAAGATCATACTCTGTGGACCGAAGCCATTTAACGTTCGCATCGTAATGATCAAACTTGTGATGCAAATAAGAACTCATATCTCAATTTATTAGCTTTAAGTGCCGCAAAATGTTTAAAAACATCGTCATTTAGTTTAATGTATAACAATAGATAATAACTGCTAAGTGTTGCGATGCTTTTCCAATATCTAGATAATGCTAGAGGCTGTTACTGCCAAAATTTCTAGACTGGTATCTTATAAACGTGAGTTCAATCTTGCCGACACTGTAAACACATGCATTCTTTAGCTACCAAGTAATAACTAATGTTTTGAACATGATTAAAGAGACACCGGTTTTTGCTATCACAGGAAGGTCGGGTGCACTTGCCTTGATAGTCGGGTCACCTTCGGTTTTTAAGAAACTAAGTGGATTACATCGCAAAGCAAGTTTCTAACTACCCATGAGGGAAAATACAATCAAGCGGGAAAATGAACTCTATTCAGAAAGAACTTCATTGGAGAATCGGGAATTTGCTGTTCAGACCACGTAGAATAAGGTTTCAGTGAAATTTTTTTTCGAAAGTTGTCGATCGGCCAACAGCAGCTCCTTACTTGCCTTGAGCAGGAGTGTATTTTTTGGAGAAAAACCGTGTTCCAGCTCAACCCGACAGGTCACGTGTGGTTACAACTTCATCAGCTTCCTACGGTGAACGGGATATTAGCCCATTGGCACACGACTAGTGGTGTAGGCTTTAGTGTAGTGCGTTTACTTACTTCACACTAACGGCAAGAAATTGTTGTGGACATTAAGAAACTGCAATTGTAGCTAGCTGCTTTAAGTGAGTTGATCGCGGATACTGTAATTAATCGGTGAGCGATTTGCTTTTGAGAAAACCCTTTGCAAAATGGACTGGTTGCTCACTGTACTTTAGCTGCGAATATTAGATAAATCATGATATATTCTGCTTCGTTGATTGCATAATTTCGTGCATACTAAATCAAATGGGCAACAACCTGAAAGGTTTCCTAGGTATTTAGTTTATACTGTCTCCAAAATAGTTATAAATTAACAACAAACAACTGAATGGGTTATTAAATCAGATTGTTGAGAAACTCCGGGTAAACTAAAGGGAAGACTTATGATTGAGCACTGGGTTACTCGCCATGTGTCTATATTAGAACACACAATCTCGCTTCAAGCTACGGTTTGTTTTGAAGCAAACTAAACCTATTTTGACCACCGGGATCAGTGTTAGGTGGATAGTTTCAGAACAACTCACTCCAAACACGGTACTCCACGACGGACCAACTTGGTTCTGATTTGGACTCTTTAAATAGATATCTCGACCTGACAGAGAAAAACCTAAAAAAAATGGTCGACTTCTTAGTCCCTTAGCGTGAGTTCCATAGTGGCTGTTAACACAGTAGTTAGAAGTTCCCTCCCAGATAAGGCTACCTCTTCCTGAGGAATCGAACTCAGGACGTAACCGATCTGTGGTGGAGTGAAGGTTTCAGAGAGATCAGCCCCCTAACTTCATCATAATATCCACTTACAAACATTTTGCTTCCTTCTACTCCGTGGACCTGTGAATGTAAAATTTGCATTCATCATCATCAAACTAGATGGAATCCGACTGCGGAGGTTCTGAATGAAAAGCGCAGTTGTTTTTACTTTGTCCCACAATCCTTCAACATTCACAGTACCCAGACATAAGGAAATATTGCCTAACGTACCCGCAGAGTACTAACGAGTCATGCGAACCACAGATATAACGCTCAAAGATACAGCGCGTGCGCGTCAAACCTTCGTCATGGATCCCAAGAACAATGCGGTCCCGTATGAGACTGTCCGCCATGCATTTACAGAAACTGAAGGATCGGGCCAAAATCTTTAGCTCGGTGACGTACGTGTCAACGGATTCACCTGGCCGCCTGTTGCGCGAAAAGAAGAGGTAGCGTTGAAATGTCTCGTTTGTTTGGCCTTCGCAGTATTCACTGAACTTCTCAATAACTGTCTCCAGATTGTCAGCATCTTCGCTCTTGTCGTAACACAATGTCTCTAGCACGCGGCGCGCATCATCTCCTGCTGCGTGTCGAAACATGGCCAAGCGGTACGCCATCGGTTGTTTGTCCAGACGCGATAAAGTGCAGAAATCCATCCATTTGCTCTTCCACATACGCCAGTTGCTTGCCAAACTGCGTTCATCCATGTTCAGCGCGGCAGGCATTTGAATAGCCGGTGCAGCTCCAATCATCTTCTGGGTGGTACTAATGTTCTTCCCCTTCTCTGACACCACGTATAAAGTCGGTCCTTCAGGGACAACACGTACATTCTGCAAACAAATGGACCAGGCAAATACGCAGATAGAGGGCGAGTGAAACATATCGGTATATACAGCTAGTTGGATCCATAATTAACGACCTTTGTGAATGCATGACATTTTTCCTTTGATTCAGTCAAACAAACTCACTCTAATGCGTCCAACTGTCGGCCAATCAGCGTGCATGCGAGAAACGAGTGAACGTCCAATCGGCTGCCGTCTTTCCTTGCGGCAGCCTAACGGCTTCCTTGCTGGGCTGGCACTGCACGTTCGTTCGAGTGTATCCTCCCATCACACCTGGTAAACCTGCTGATCATATACCCCGCAAGCCTGCTCATTTTCATTGACTTCCGGATGAGGTGAAGCAAACACGAATAAAAGTGACTTCTCTCGCTCACATAGTTAGCACCACTGTTGTCCTTGCTCCTTCGGATCTAGGACGCGGTGACTATGACGTATTGATGTATTGTTAAAATATTACCGTTCAATCACAGCGGATCGTGATAAACCGAACGCCTGTTCAAAAGAAAGTCTAGCGGAGCCGAGCCCAGATGTCCCCTAATAGAATACACATAACAACGTATGAATTGGACACAGGTACTCCAGGCCAGTGATATACACAAGTCTGGAAGTCACAACCGCCTCACAAAATGGGACCATTGAAATCATTATGAACGCAGATAGAACCTCTCTGTTGCATCCAATGATTTGACTGCTAGCCTCGAGGCTTTGTCAATCGTATCACTCGACAACGAAACGCATCCCTTTGCAACGATTACTGCAATAATGCTAAATGCCAGATCATTGCCGAGAGCAGCACTAGGTTCACTAGGGTAATGCAGGTAAAGATGGAAACCATCCAAATGCTGTTCTCCCATTTATCGATATCTTTGCAGCTGCTTAAGAATAATTTACATCTGGTTCCTCGCACACTAACTCTGACATGGACAATTAGTACAGGCAGCCAATCAATAGTCATTTTTCCACGCTGCAACCAACCTTGCTGCTTACGTGCAAGCTACGCCGATACATGTTGTCATCAAAAAGCAACGAGAAATTGAAGCCTTATTGGGCGATGACAGTAGCTCCATAACGCATGCTTACTATGTATTGCCAGAATTTGCAACAGCGCAGTAGGCAGGAATCGTCTATAGTGAAGAGCAAATGTCTGTCATGTCAAGAATGGATTTAAACAACAACTTCTAAACTTGGTGCAAACCACCCGCTGCACAGAGTACTATATTATCGACTAAAGGAGGCGCTATCTGTATCCCTGCCATTTAGTGGCCTTTGAAGGTCGTCCATATGAGCACTATTTGCTTATGGATGTCGGACACTCGTTCGTTTCGTGTTTTCACGTCCCCGTTTGAGTGTTTTGCTAGGAACTTCTCCGGATATCCATTTTCGCACACTGTAGAGGAGACGGGTTGCAGCTCACATGTAAGCACTTCCTCTGAGCATAGCAGGAGAGCTATCGCAAAGATGGTACAACCGGAGCTCGTTTGTAATTCACAGGACATTAAATGTCAAACATGGTGTAATGTAACATTTAGGTTTCTTTTAAGTGAACATCTAATATTGAAGGGCATTGTTTCCTTCTCAGCTGTATATTCGAGTGCGGGGTAACAGTTGCTTAGCGCCAACAGTAGTTTATCTCTTGCTCTGCAGTGTGTACCACGATAACGTCTCTTACATGTAGCAGCTATATGAATGCAAGTAGTGTATATTAAAACTTGATGATCTCTGTAGGCAATCTATCCAATCCGTTAGTTATATGCAAATAGCCATCAAAAATACGAGGAATAGCTGAATTCAGATTATCTTTTCGAGATATGGTTCTGTCTTGCTCTTTTGACACTGCCAGTGGTACGTTGTATAGCTCAATCTACTGTGTTTGAAATACTAACAGAATTAATCGAGACTGGGAACCACCTTTCCGCTTTCAACGGACCGACAAGATAGGCAACAGCAGAGGTAGTCAGCGAATGACAAACAGAATGCATTTTGTAACGTCGAAAGTGCGCAGAGTGAACCAAGCGTGATTTCGAAACGAAGTGACAGAGAAGAAATGCATGGCAAGCAACGCTACAGAATATCCCAAAATAAAATTTGATAAGCGATACTTCCTTGATGTAGTATTAAAAAAGGAAAAGCAACGTTCTATGGTATTTAAAATAAATGTGGATAGCGGGGTTAATCTATCTAAGAATATTGTACCATGAGTCTTGTTTTCTGAAGGAACCCTTAGTTCTCTAATAATTCTAATTACTTCGCACATGGTTACGGTTGAACTTAAGAGTGTTTAGTCACGGCTGACGTTGTATGCGCAGCCTCCGAATTGTGTCAGAACCACCGTGCTGGATCCGTGTCGGCCCGTTTCCTGGAAGGGTGAAATGCTTGTCTCCGGTTCAGAACAACTTCGGTCAGCCTTCACCAATACACTATGATCCCCAACTTAGCACGAACCGCAAAGTAGGGTAACTCCGGGTGACACCAATTGTGGAAGATGTCTGTTTCACTGCGCTCCGAGGACAACATAAGCAGGCAACCACGGACCAGCATGACAAACGGAACTGTCGAAATCATGAACACTGTAACCGTCTAAACCCGGCTTAAATGTCTTCTTTGAGTAGGCGACCATGGTACACAACGTGTGCATCAACGCACGTGATGTAGCATAAGGGGCCGTTACTGTGTCGATGAATGAGAACCAGACACTCCATCTCATCGCGCAGCCGCAGCAAGTACGTGCATGTCTTGTCTGGCATTCAATACAGAGCTTACTGGGTCTGAGCTGCGGCAATTGACTGCATCGTTAGCGGAATACCCACGCAAAATGGGTTTGTCTGTGTGCTGGGATTGTCTGAGTGTAACTGACTGCCAGTTCGTACCCAATACGTGCAATTGACTCAGGAAACTTTGCCATTCAACTGCTGTGTGTGTGAATGCAGTGTTTATTTGATTTTTAGTTTTCGTATATTGGTTA